TGACTTAGAGGCTATTGCAGGTGTCCAGCGAGAGACAATGATGACTTGGACCAGTGTGGGAGCTGGGCAGATGGTGAAGGTGGTAATGTGTGAATACGTCCTGACGTAAAGCCAGTAGGCTTTGCTCGTATTCTGCTGGTGGTGTGCAGAGACACGAAGGAGTCAAGGATGACAGTGGTAGCTTGCTCCTCCACGCTGCATGAACTAGAAGCACTGGGTAGTGTTTTTAAAAACAATAATAGGGTCATAACCTGCAGTGCCTTTCATTACTCAATATTGAGAATCGTTTCCAAGTCAATACACGTAGAAACATTCTTTTTAATGATTGAATAATATCCATTAGGTGGCAATACCAAGAGTAATTTAACAAATCCAATATCGATAGGCATTATATTATTTTTCAGTTTTTCTTACATGGTGAATTCTGGGACAAATTGAGTGATCCGACAGCCTTTGCCAATATAGTAGTCTATCAGGTGAATCTGCCCTTCCGTTCATTTCCTGAAGCCAGTCTATTTTAAACTGCTTAAATGCTTATTTTTAAAACACGCTTTTGTTTCCTGATTGTCAAAATAGTATATCCTTATTTAGAAAAAACGTATCTTACAGGATTTTAAATGAGACTTTCTTTACTGCCACCAATTTTCAGCCAAGGCCCAGCTGTGCAGGGAATGCTGGGAGTATGAAAACTATTTTCGTGGTCCTTCGTTTACCATCCACCTTGAGGGTCTCCTAGGGGAAATAGAGAAGTGAACGAGAAGTTTCAAAGGATTTCATTTTAGAGAGAAAATCTTTCGAGTACTGTTGGCAATGCTCTTGACTTATTCTGAATCTGTCAATTGTTTTGATGCCCTGTAAGTGTGGCAGATACGAAGATTTAAGAGCCGAGCGGTAGAGTCCCAGGTATGTTCATCAGGAACCTTGGCCGTGGGCAATCAATCACATGCTATTTTAAGCAGAAGAGATCTGTTACAGGGCACTGGGGTAGTTTATTGAATCTTAGGGATTGTTTAGATGTGTTGACAGATGGCATTTGGAACCAGAGTGGATGTGATTGGCCACAGAGAAAGAAGGGAGAGAAGCAGTATTGGAGAGTGTGCCAAGGGACAGCTTATAGAGAGAGAATTGGCAGAAAACTTCGCCTGAGCAGAGGATGGAGTTGAGCGTGTTGTCACAGCAGCTAAGAAAGAGGGTTTTGAGAAGAAGGGAGCGGTCACCTGTGCCAGCAGCTGAGAAGCCAAGGAAGCAGGGACCGGACGCTGCAGGGAGGTCGGTGGGGTTCCGGGGGGGGGCAGCCCAGGGGAGCGCAAGCACCAAGCCGGAGCCAGACCGAGCGGTGTGGTGTGGGACAGCAGGGGTGACAGCACCTCCGTATGCCTTCTGGCCTCAGTGACAATCCTGGGGGGTTGGTAGGTCGAGCAGGCAGGCAGGCAGGCAGGGAGGTGGGCAGGGAGGTTGGTAGGGCAGGGAGGTTGGTAGGGCAGGCAGAGAGGTTGGTAGGGCAGGCAGGGAGGTTGGTAGGGCAGAGAGGTTGGTAGGGCAGGCAGGGAGGTGGGCAGGCAGGCAGGGAGGCGGGCAAGTAGGCAGTCATTCATTTTCACATTTCGAAGGGCGAAATCCAAGGCTCAGAAATGTGAACGGCCTTCATCGGTTTCCGAGCCAGGTCTAGTGGCTCTGAGTCCAGGGCTCTTGTAGGGCCGCCGTGCTGCCTTCCCACCAACAGCGCAGCACAAGGTAGGTGTGGCTTGGCTTCAAAACCTCAGTGGGCAGTAAACTGCTAAAAGTTCTATACCTCCCTGATTGGCCAGGCAGCAATAAGTGGCGATGCCTTAAAGCTGCAAAGAAAAGATACTAACGGTCTAAGCATCCGGCGCCCCCCGAACCTGCTTCCCTCCTTATATTCTTTTCTCTTCCTAAATGCTCATTTGGTCACAGAAAAACCAGACTGGCAGACGGGGGGTTGTCATTAGTGACTTTTGTCTTCCTTTCAGCTCTGGCATTAAATCGGTAAGCCCCGACAACCTCTTAAGTTTATCTCTTCTCTAGGACTCCTCTCCATCCCTCCTGCTGGGAGTCAAGTGCAGGTGGGCATTGCCTGTAACAGCCTCCTGGTCAGCTTCCATGTCTCTGGTCTTATGTCCTTTGGTCTATCCTTCCTGTGCCACCAACCAGATGTAAGTTTGCTTCGTGCTCGGCGCACAGGTTGCTTATTCCCTGGTTCAGTCCTGCTCGTTGAATCTCCTTCCTCCTCCTGCCTCCTCACACTTCACGCTCTGCTTCAACCCAACTTTTTATAGTTCTCTGAACTTCCTGTACCTTCACATGTTTATGGCTGGCACCGACTGTGTTCTCTGCCTGGGTGAGCCAGCGTAAGTCTCAGAAGGGAGGTCAGCCTTGGGTTGAGGTTTTCAGGATGAGTAGGAGTGTGCCTGACCCTCATGTGGTGGTAGCCACAGTTCTCGATCTCAAAAAGTTTGTAATTCGGAGGGAGACAAAAACCCTACGTGATTCCAGTTCTTTGTGATAACTGCTGGATCAGAAGGACAGACTCCAGTAGGAAAGC